CTCATCTATCCTGTGTGATCTGGCTAGTTGAAGAAATCCCTGCAGCAATGGAAATAAAAAGAAGTGTCACAGAAATGTATTAATGTTTTTTAAAAAAACTTTTCTCCTTTAATACTAATAGTGCACATAAACCTGCACAGGATCCCTTGATTTTGAATGACAGCCATGACACAGATCTTTGTAGACCAGTGGAATGAGTGAAGTAGTCTAAGGGTGGAGCAAACGATCAATTTTCATTTGTATATAATACCCAAACTTTTTCAAGTGTATATATATTCCTGGAACAAAAAGTAACCCATCTATTGCACTTAATTTACTAAATAATATTGTTTATTAAGTGTGTTTTTTTTCTTAAAAAAGAAAAATGTGCTTATATAAATTATCCCCAAAACGTCTCCAAAAATTCTGTCGAGTTGGTCTAGAGAGTTTCTTATGAAATGAGTTACTATTAAGAGTCATGCACAACCATTCTATGGGAGTCAAAGGAATTCTATATTCAGCCCTTTTGATTCCTGGTCCTGGACAGAAACTAGAGGAAAATATCCTGTTTACTTAGCTTCTGGAGGCATCCTGTGGCCCCAGTTGGAAAATGATGGATCCTTGAGGATAAATAGCAGGAAGGATGATAAATGTACATAAAAATTACACATGGAGTAAAGAAAATGAAACTTTCCCCTCATTTCTCATAATACTAGAATTGTAACATTTAATGAACTTGAATGGCAGGTCAAACAAAACTAGCATTTCACCACAGAGCACATAATTTGAGTTGGAATTCATTTAATTGATATATAATAATGGCTACCAGCTTGGATATTCTTAGCAGCAAACTAGACAGATTCACAAGTACCAAGGCTATACATTAATTGAGGGTGATATGCTAGGATTGAGGAGTCCCGAGCAATTGTTCTCAAGCCCCTCTACATGTCCCTCCAATCACTGTTAACTCTCCATAGAAGAAAGAAGAGGCATGGGCATCAGATTTGAAGCCCAGAGCTTTTAGCCAGTGTTAAAATTTTGGGAACAGCTACATATATGGTTTTTCTAAGGACATAAGCAGGGAATCTCTGAATAATAACAACTTCTAGGAGAAAAGGTGCTTGCTCTCATTCTTGGGTGATTCCTACCTAATTGGCCACTTTGGGAAATGAGCCATGGCCTGATCCAGTGTTCTCTGTATTACACTTACAGTTTGGTTTGCATACATCATCCATTCAGATAGTATAAAAATGCAATCCTCTTTGTTCCAAACCTATCCAGATTCCCTGAAGTTTTTCCATAACTTGGTTTCCTATGTTTTTTGCATTATCCTGACATAATCAGAATCAAGGTTTGTACTCAGGTTTATCTTATTATCCCAGTGCTGTAGTTACCACTCAATTATTTAGGGCTATTCAGATGTCACACCTGTTGTTCTTCCATTGTATCTTATCGGTGGAGATTTATTTTATTGGTGGAAGTACGCTATAAAGCCCATGTTTAACTATTGTTTTCTGAATTCCAGGCTTTTAAACAAAATGTAGTGCCATGCATTCTTTTTCAGTGGTAACAGATTTTAATATGAATTTCAACACTTACAAAAGTACCCTCTACATTACAGTCAAGTCAACTACTAGTTTTCCCAATGGCTATTTTGTTCTGAGAAATTGAGATACTGCTATCTCAAAAGCAAATTGCTGACAAGTTCAATAGCAAAACAATCCCTCTCTCCCCATGGATTGGCAATGAATGTGAAAAGAATTATTATTAACCAGGATGTTTTATTATCAAGGCTTGAGTAGATCTGTATCTGGAAAGAGTACATCCATTATTGGGTTCCCCTGTATTTTAATTACTGTTTTCTAATTTAGCATTTCTATCCTTTTGCTTTGCAGAAGTATTGGACTGTAAATTCCAGAAATCATATTAGCATATTGGCTGAAAATTCTGGAAGCTGTAATCTTAACATATTTGCAGGTTGCTCTATTGCAAGCAGGATAGCAAATTAAGATACTCCATACTTTCACACAGACTTTTGCCTAGGAAAAAATGCTTCTGAATTGTATAGAGGGCAAAGTGCTTTGCTTTTATTTCATGGCATCTAAAAAATGTGAATTGTTGGACCATATATAAGGGCATCTCCACAGAGCTATAGTCCCAATCTGTTTTTCTTATATGCTGTAAGTGGCAGTGATGTGGCATTCATGTCAAAAAAAAAGGGGGGGGGAGGGAAGCTGAAAACTTTTTATTCTGTGTGTAAAATGCTGTAATGGGGAGGTGAGGGAGATTGAGGGGGAGCACTGAAGCAATGTAACAACAGATTTGGCTTGTGACTGCTGATTGCCTCAATTATCACACTTTGAAAAAAGTGGCCCAAACTTAGGTCAAAAGTTTAATTTCGCTATCCGTTACACCTGATAGTTTCTGAGCAATTGTCAGAATTACACAAATTGTGCTAACTTGCTGACTGACTCAACAATCAATTTTGCAGAAAAAACTTTTGTTTTTCTTTTCTCCTTCAACCTTTTGTCAATCAGTTTTTTACATTCAGGAAAGGATAATTTACAACCAATCCTTTTCTCTGCATAAAACCCTCTCTGCCTATTTGTCTGGAAATTGAGGGTCACTGAACTGCAAATTTCAAAGCTTCCTTGCTAAGCAATGTCCATTTTTTAAAGGAACATATTCCAGGAACATGAACATGGTAGGTCAAGCTATGCAGCAATTTCAATCAAAAGTTGAATCATTCTCAGAACCTGGATAATAGCTTTTGAAAGAAGTCAGGAGAGTCGTACAAATCCTGACTATGTATAGAAAACAGGTGGAAAAGTGCATTCCTAATTGTTGTAGTCTAAACTTATGCTATTATACACAAACCCAGAACTAGTGATGCCTTCTCCATTTTACACTCTTACTTTTGGTTTCACAAGTTTTTGCCAGTATAGGTAGTCCTCAACTTAGGATGAATTTTTGTTGTTAAGTGAGAAATATATCAGTTTTGCCCCACTTTATGACTTTTGCCACATTTGTTAAGTGAATCACTGCAGTTCTTAAATTAATAACATGGTTAAGTGAACCTGGTTTCGCCATTGACTTTGCTTGTCAGAAGGTCGCAAAAGGGAGCCACATGACTCACGGGCACTACAACCATCATAAATGTGAGTTGGTTCTCAAGCATCCAAATGTAAATCACATGACCATGGGGATGCTGCAACGGTCATAAGTGTGAAAAATGATAAGTCATTTTTTTCAGTAACTTCGAACAGTCACTAAATGAACTGTTGTAAGCCAAGGACTACCTGCAATTATGAATATGAAAATGAACATTTGACTTTTTTTATGGTTCTACAAGAATTATTAAAATAAAGGAGAATAATCTGCTTTTAGCAATTTATGAGCACACATTTCTAAACATCTACAAGTGAAGAAATGCTCAATCAACTCTCCACTCTTTGCTGACAATACCCATATCTCCTGCTTTTCAACTTAATCCTTTTTTCAATATAGGCATCATCTTCTCTCCAACGGTATCTTTGTTATTCAAAATAATGTTCAAGCAAACTGGCACAGTAAGTATTTAAATTATTGATTATAATAAAGCAAGTACCATTTCTAGCAGGTCCTAAAAAAAAGTAATATCCACAACTATGTATTTACACAAAATGCCACGCACAAAAGAGTAGGAACTATTCGGAGGCACAAGTCCAGCTTCAAATAGAGAACTGTAGATCATACATCGTTCTGCCACCATCTTCCATTCTTGAGAGCTGAGCATTCATTTCAGGATACTTAAAATAAGCCAAACTTCTTTTTGGTGGCAGGCACGTGATTAGTGATTTATAAAGCTTTGAAGCAAACTAATAGGATAAGAGTATATTAGTATTTGGTTTTTTTAAAAAACAAAACAAAACAAAACCTGAAGCTATGGAGTACAAAGTTCAGTCATGGTTCTCAAAGGAGTTTATTTTCTATGTCTTTAAAGTGGTTTGCCAGGGATTTGTCTTGTCACATCTAAACTTAAGTGCTCAGAATGCTGTCTCCTTAGAGACAAAATCCAACATGAACCTGAAAATACCAAATCCAGGAGAAAAAAAAAACCCTTCAAATATGGCCAGGCTTTTTCAATCCAGTTTTCTCCATTGTGTCAGGATTACAATTCCCTTGAAATCTCAGCCACAATGATGAAGGCAGAGGAAGACAGAGACCATGAAGTCTCAAGACATCCAGAGGAACCAAGAAGGCAGCTTTAAGGAACATAGCAGTGTAGTCCTGTGATAGTGGCATCAGAGATGAATGTAGAATTTGGATAGGCTAAGCCCTTTTGGGGGGTGGGAGGTGGTGGCGGGCAGATATTATTCCCCGGGCTGGATGGTGATGGCAATGGGTGATGTTAGTTCAACTTCATTTAGGCACTCAAGGTTACAAAAGGACAGTGAGGAATTGACTATTGTTACTAACATCAAATAAGAAAACAAGAAAAAAGGGGAGAACTATCTTTTCATGAAACTGTTCTCTAGTCTACAACAGACACATATTTCTGGAAATATTAAGCAAGATTTAACCTCCATGGAGGCAATGTAAGAGCACACACCTCTCCAGATAAATGAACCCGGAGCCGTTCTCATTTCTCTCTCCTCCCTCCATAGTCACATCCTCCCTCTAACTTAGAATTTGGTTCTGTGAATACTGTTCATTCGACTATTTTATTCCTGTTACAGATTTTCAGCACAAGAACTGCATAAGAAGTGTTAATGGTAACATACAACCCACCAACAGAAGTCTCAAACATTATTACATTACCAGTCATGGTCTACATTCACAACCTCCCTGTTCTGCACATAATACCTCTTTCCCTTGTTAGGTTACCTCACCCTTGATATCCGTTCGATGTTAAAGACCCCACCACCATCCAATCTAACACAAAGTAGCTAGAACGATGAAGGGGAAAGGAAGGTGAAGTTAAAAATTGGCTTTTGCCGCGGTAGAAGGTAAAGGTTGAGGAAGGCTTCCGAGAGGCTTACCAGAACATGTCCGAATCGTTCTTCCAATTCCTCAGCATTAGGCATAGGTAGTTTGGGGGTTGCAGGCTGTTTGGGGGGTAAAGGCGAAGAAGCAGTCGGTTGGGTTTTAATCTCCTTCGCTGGAGACATTTCCATGCTGCTGGCTGCATTACCCATTCTCAGATTTTTAAGGTTACAAAATAAAATCTGGAAAAAGGCTGCGAGTTGAAAATTCCCCCGATTTTCCCCCGAAGCAGAAAATGGTTCAAGGGGAGGAAGAGTCTCCTATAGGAAAAATCACACCCATAAAAGAAAAGAAAAAAAAAAAACAGGCGGGAAAAAGATAGGGGTGTTTCAGAAACTCCCTGCACGTGCTTAAAAAATCTTCTAAGGCAAGAAGGAGCCGTGACTGTTGTCCATGACTTTGCTCTGGCGTTTGGAGTTACCGGAAACAGGAGAAATAACGGCCGCGGCGGACTAGAGGGAACGTCGCCCAACGAGGTGACCGCTGAGCTCCGCTCCTTTGGGGCCAACACCAGGCAGGTGGTGCCTCGCGCTTTTCTACGTTCAAAACGATGGGTTCAATTTCCACGCGAAGGTAGCAAAGCAACTTTTTTTCAGAAAAAGGAGGTGCATCCTCTGATCCGCTGCAAGCGGCGGAGAGAGACAACGCGTGGTCGCTCTTGAGAAGGCGAGAAGTGACGAGCTGCTTCAGTTTAACTTCCCCCTCGCCTCCACCCCCAAAAGAGGAAGGATCGAAAGCGAGATCACAGGAAGTCACAATGCAGGTGTTTCGGCTTGGAATATTCGAGCGCCGAAAATAAGATAGCGGCAACTTTTCTACACCGCTGCGCTGCAGGTCCTCTTCTGTAGAGGTCGCAGGCAAAAACGTTAAACCTCTCCTCCGGTGGCTTCGTCCATTGGCACGGAAGGTCTCGGTTGGGCTGAAAGGCAGAAAGCAGCCGCAGAGGGAGCGCGCGGATTTTGCAAAGACTGGGATGGGTAGATGAGGAAAGGAGGGGAAGAGAGCCGAGAGGGACGACGCAGCTTGCCCATTCCCCCAGGCAGGAGCCTTGGTCTGGAAGGGAGAAGGAGACGCCGGGAGAAAAAAGGAGGGGGACGAAATAGCAGAGTCACCTGCTAGTGGAATGAGGGTCTTGGGCAGCAATAGCAACCGAGGCAAGAGACGGGAGGAGAGCTCCCTGGGTCTCAAAGCCCACGGATTCCCGTTCGGGGAGTGTTATTAGCTTATTCTTAATTCCTTTCCAAAATAGGGCGAGCTTCAGAATTTTTGCCAGGGCTGCACGTTTGAAAGGCCAGGCTCTTTATCCAAGTCGGCGCTTTCCAGATGTGCTGGACTACAACTCCTATTATCCTCAGTTAGCAAAAGTGGTGGTGGTGGGCGCACAGCGGAGGAAGGCTATCTCAGAGAGTGGGAAGACAATAATAGAGCCCTAACTGGGTCAAGCGAAGAGGGAATGGGCATTGGGTGTCCGAGGTAGGATATATAGCATGTTCAGCTATATCCATTTTAGGATGTAGGTGCATGTGTACATATAACATTGGAAAAGGGAGAGGAGGACGGGAGGAATCACGTGCCAAGGAATGGAAGGGCTTTAGGTTCCTCAAATCTTTGCCACCTTTTGAAGGAAGGGAGGAAATAGACGTCATTTTGACGGTGCGTCGCTGAGTGCATGTACCTTGCGGCCGCGCCATCATCCTTTCAAGACACATCTCGCAAAATTGCTGGATAACCTCGCCTCACCGGGCCCTCAAGCTAATACAGCTAATCTCCCAGCTATGGAGGCAGAAAAGGGCAACGCTAGAGGAACAAAATGCATTATTTCTATAAACCCACGTCGCTAAACCAATTTGCATTAAAGGACATCAGCATCTTCGGGTCTCCCTCGAAGCAGCCATGGTAGAGGCGCGTTCTACCAAAGTAGACCCCAAAATTCTCCCTCTAGCGGCAGATGGTTAAAATGGCTCTCTTCAGCAAACTTTTAATGGGAGCCAACTGATCTCTTCCTTCACATTTTTACCAAAAACAATTGGGTGTTAAAAGATTCCAGTAGCCTTCTGATATAAGTAAGCCCTGATTAGCGCGCCTATTGATTAGCCCTGCTTAGATTCCTATCAGGAAAAAAGCGGAGGGCACTAAAAGAGGCAAAGACCGAGTTAGTCTTCTCGATTTTTATTACAATATTTATATTTTCCACCACAAAATTCTGCCAAAGTAGATTTAGTTTATGAATTATCAAGATGCAGTAACAAAATCACAACAGCCCAAGGAAGGCAAGCAAAAATGAAGAGACTATTGAGAAGCAAACTTGGCAAGATTTATGCTATTTGTGATTCTGGTTTTGCTTCTTGAAATCTGAGCAACTACTATTAAATTAGAAAACTCTTCTAATTTAGCCTTTTGCTCTCAGAGTGGTCAAGCAAATATCTTTGAAAAGCTCAACAGTATGATCATACTCCCATTATTGGTCCAAAGCAGCTGGCACTGAGAGTCTAATGTTAAAGACCATACACAGCTGTAAAAATCAATAGCCATACTGCAGAACACAGTGATTTACTATTGTCTATAGTGGGTAAGGTTTCTTATTACAAGTTTCAAAGCCTTTATTGTCATTGTACATCATGTATATAACAAAATTGGTTTAGCCTCTATTGGTGCAGTCCATACAAGAATATAAGACAACATGAATAATATAAAGAATATACAAGTAGTTAGGGGGAAAAAACTAGTCATATTTTCCATATGTATGTCATATTCTGTGCAACATGTACAGTATATCACAATACACCCTCTCACATTTTGTAAATATTTAAGTATATCTTTTCATGCGACAACACTGAAGAAATGACACTTGGCTACAATGTAAAGTAGTGAGTATACAGCTTGTATAACAGTGTAAATGTGCTGTCCCTCAAAATAACGATACACACAGCCCTTAATGTCTAAACTGCTGGCAATAAAAGTGAGTACACTCCTAAGTGATAAATGTCCAAATGGGGCCCAAGTAGCTGTTTTCCCTCCCTGGTGTAATGTGACCCAGTGGTACAAGGTCTCAAGTGTGAAGGGGGAGCAGGTGTGTTAAATTTGGTGTTATCGCTCTCACGCTTTCATACTGGTCACAGGAAGTTCAACATGGCACCTCATGGCAATGAATTCTCTGAGGATCTGAAAAAACGAATTGTTGCTCTACATAAAGATGGCCTAGGGCCCTATAAGAAGACTGTCAAGACCCTGAAACTGAGCTGCAGCACAGTGGCCAAGACCATAGAGTGTTTTAACAGGACAGGTTCCACTCAGAACAGGTCTTGCCATAGTCAACCAAAGAAGTTGAGTGTTCAGTGTCATATCCAGAGGTTGGCTTTGGAAAATAGACTATGAGTGCTGCCAGCATTGCTGCAGAGATTGGAGGGGTGGGGGGGGGTCAGCCTGTCAGTGCTCAGACCATACACCACATACTGCATCAAATTGGTCTGCAGGGCTGTTGTCCCAGAAGGAAGCCTCTTCTAAAGATGATGCACAAGAAAGCCCGCAAACGCTTTGCTGCAGACAAGCAGACTTAAGACATGGATTCCTGGAACCATGTCCTGTGGTTTGATGAGACCAAGCTAGACTTATTTGGTTCAGATGGCGTCAAGCATGTGTGGCAGCAACCAGGTGAGGAGTACAAAGACAAGTGTATCTTTCTTACAATCATGCACCGTGGTGGGAATGTCATAGTCTGGAGCTGCACGAGTGCTGCCAGCAATGGGGAGCTACAGTTCATTGTGGAAACCATGAATGCCAACATGTACTGTGACATACTGAAGCAGAGCATGATCTCTTTCCTTCGGAGACTGGGCCGCAGGGCAGTATTCCAACATGATAATGACCCCAAACACACCTCCAAAACGACCACTGCCTTGCTAAAGAAGCTGAGGATAAAGGTGATGGACTGACCAAGCATGTCTCCAGACCTAAACCCTATTAAGCACCTGTGGGGCATCCTGAAAGGAGGTGTGCAAGGTCTCATATCCACCAGCTCCATGACATCATCATAGAGGAGTGGAAGAGGACTCCAGTGGCAACCTGTGAAGCTCTGGTGAACTCTATGCCCAAGAGGGTTAAGGCAGTGCTGGAAAATGATGATGGCCACATAATATTGATACTTTGGGCCCTATATGGACATTATCACTTAGGGATGTACTCAGTTTTGTTGCCAACAGTTTAGACATTAATGGCTGTATGTTGCATTATTTTGAGGGGACAGCACATTTACACTGTTATACAAGCTGTATATTCACTACTTTACATTGTATCCAAGTGTCACTTCTTCAGTGTTGTCACATGAAAAGATATACTTAAATATTTACAAAATGTGAGGGGGTGTACTCATTTCTGTGCAATACTCAGTGGTAGGGTGCTCCTGGTTCTGTCTGGTTCTTGCGAACCAGTAGTAAAAGCGGTGGGAGGCCGACTGGACATCGTAATTGACAATCTGTGCATGCGCAGAAGTGCGCACGCTCCCGTTGTGAACCGATAGTAAAGGTAAGTAGAACCCACCCCTGGACATACTGTATATTACTCTCCAATTGTTCTTAATCTCCCATTGAGGAAACTTCCTTTACAAAAATCTGGCCAGTATTCCTTTCCAATTCACTCCTGCAGTAGTTTTCCTATATTAGAATATTATATTCCAACCCTAATCTATCTTCTGAATGCTGAATTGCTTTTATCCCTATCTTGTACTGCTGTAGCTTATTATAGAACACGAAAGGTTCCAAGTTACTTAATATTCTTAATGGCAAGAATCACATGACCGAAAATAGGAAAATAACTTTTCTTTCAGTTTCAGGAAGCCACTATTAACAAAATCGATGGACAAGACTGTCCAGTTGTAAAACAACTCATTGTGTTTATTCTGGTATGTTTAGTTTTATTTTACTTATCTCCCTGCTTCATCCCACTGCTTGTGAACCCTTTAGGACAAGGACTTCTATCTCTTAATTTTGTAAAATACCATATATGTATGTTAAAAATACACTTTTGAAAAAAATATGTATTTCAGTAGCTACAGTATTCAAAATTTGAGCAAGCCTTTTCAATTTTTTTTTTTTTTGGTCAATACTTCCTAGGGCTAGGAAAGATCCATTTGAAAGAACTTCTCCCAGGAAGTTCAGGGAAACTAAACATGTACATGTGTTTCTCCATGAATCCTGTCCAATTATCAGTCCATAAAAAGTGAAAAATATTCAGCATGGATTACCAACACAAAGCACAGTGTTCTCCAGAACCACCATTGAGCATAACCCCCATTAGAACAGATTCAGGCTTTTTTTATATCCAGAATTCTTCACAGAATTGCCTATGGGGATTTCTGAACATTGCTAACATTTAAAAGGAGCAAGCTGTAACAAAATCTTTATAATGTGGAATTGACAGATTCCAATAGTAGCGGGAGACTTTTTTTCTATCATGGAAATGGTTATATTCAATAAGATTCTTTTCACATTTGTTCTAATCTTGATAAACTAGAAATCCCAATAATTCATCCTTCCTCACAAGATATATAGGAGCCAGTTTGATCTAGTAGTTAAGGCACCAGACTAGAAAGCGGGAGACTGAGTTCTAGTCCTGCCTTAGCCATGAAAACCACCATGACATGGGGTCAGCTGTTTTAGTTAAATAGGAGGAAGCTCTATTGGATATGTTCGGCACCTTGAGTTATTCATAAATATAATCAAGATGGGATATAAATAAATAATAAATAAAATCTTCAGATATTGCAACCAATAATACATAGCTGACTC